AAGGATTTACTCTGCCCCGGCCACACTCCTCCTCTTGCGCTTCCTCAAACATGCCAGGCATGCTCCTACCGCAGGGCCTTTGCACTGGCTGTTTGCTCTGCCTGGAATACCTTTCCCAAACATGGCCTGCTCTCCCTGCTCCTTCAGGTCCCTGCTCCAACGTCACAGCTCAGTGAGGCCGCCGATGCTCCCTGACACTCCCTTTCTTGCTCACTTTGTGTCTGGAGCTCTTGTCACGTCTCTCTGCGTCCTGGTTATTGCTTATTTGTCTGTCTACTCTGAAAATGGAGACGGCAGCTCCATTTCTGTCTCTCTTGGTCATCCTTACGTTCCCAGACTCCAACACGGCACTGGCACAAGAAGGTGCTCGGTGAAGACTTGTAGGACGAATGAACGAACGAACGAACGAACGAACGAATGAATGAGTAGTGTTTAGTCAGCATCAGGCCCTGCCCATAGCAAGCACTCGATACCCAGTGCAGTGAACGGTGTTACTTTGGCAGCCGCTTTCCAGCGCCCCTTCCCTCCCGCCCTCTCCAGTCCTCCCCTCTCCAGCCTGGCCTCCTGCTTTCTCTGCCAGGCCCAGGTCCCAGGCCCAGCTCCCTGCTACCCACACAGCCCTGTCCCTGGGTCCTGGGTCCTGGGTCCTGGGTCAGAGTGCCCTCTGGGGAATCGCAGGCCTGTGGGACGGGCACCCTCAGGCTCTGTCTGCTTCTGGTTCCTCTTCTGACCCCCGGGCAGGCAGAGGCTGCTGGGAAACGGGCAGAGCAAGGCTCTGTATGCAGCTCCCTGGGCCAGACCCACTGAGCTTCTGGGCCCCCCTCCGGCACTGCCTGGTGTGGTCCAGTTACTGCTCTCACGGGGACGTGAGACTAGGGAGGGGCGGCCGTACTGGGCGCCCGGGGCGCCCGGGGCTCCCGGAACTGCTAGGGCGCTGGCTTCTCTGCCGCTCCGGGAATGGGGCTGGGGCTCAGGCGGCTGTTTCCAGATGGGAAGGCTGAACCTCATATACACTCAGATTCGAATCTCATCCTCCCATTTCCCAGCTGCGTGGCCTGAGGCTTGTTGCCCAGTCCCACTGAGCCTCGGTTTCCTCGTCAGTAGAAAGGCACGCCAGTGCACGGGGGTGTTCAGGAGGACAAGACCAGCTGTCCCACCTGCACCTGGGGTCTGCAGCCCCGCCCTGGGCTGACTACTCCGGGCCCGGCTCTGACGCATCATCGTCGTCAGAGTAACTGACAGGCCCAGGAGACCGCCACCGCCGCCGCCGCTGCCGCCACCGTGTTTGTTCCCTGCCCTGACTTTTCCCCTCCTCATCCTGGCCTGCCTTCTCCAGAACCAGCTTGTTTTTGTTTTCTGTTTTTACGGCTCCATAAATGAGTCACGGGCCTGATTTGATTTAATTTCGTTGTAATTGTTATCTTTTCAAGCTTGTTTTTTTCCACTCGGTTACTCACGAGACCACAAAACCTAAACAGGACGGGGCCTTCTCCGGCCCGCTGCCTGACACTCCCGGCCCGGCCCCCCCGCCCCGCCCCCCGGTGATCCGGGGCTCAGGGCCAGGGTCCGCAGGCCTGAGGTGGGGTGCGTGGGGCTTCGGGGGCGGTGCTTCCTGTCCCGGGCAGGACTGCGTGTCCTGAGCCCCGTTCCGCTCGCTGTGTTGCCTGGCAGAGCTGCTTACGCTCTCTGGGCCCGATAGCCTCGCCAGCGTCCTCCTTGGCAAGCGCTGGGGCGCGGAGTCAAACGCTCAGACATCTTGGGGCCAGGAGGCAATGTGATGAGTGAGGTGGGCTGGGAGGTGCCTGCGGAGGACGGGAGGGAGCAGGCCCTTCCCCGGGGACGGCCGTCTCTTCGCGGGCGCGCAGCCCAGACCCGTCCATTTATCAAGAGGAGCCAGAGAGCCGAGGTCGCATGCGAGAGAGAGGTCCTCACTCTTAAACGTCACCCAGTGAGTCCAATGAAAAACAACAAACAACATTCAACTCTGTGGACACCTCTGGTTTAGAAGGTTCTGGAACAGCCGGCCACAGTGCAGGCTGAAGAATTTTGCAGAGAAGACTCTTGGTGATCGTGTCGAGTTGCTCAGATGCCACGAGGAGGGTGTCACTGTGCTGTCACGCAGTGTTGTTTAAGTGTATGTCAGTGTATCAACACTCCACTTGGTTTATCCGAAGCATGTGTGTAATTTTATGATGAATGTGTTAGGTCAAAGAGGAAAGCAATTTATTTTTACTTTCTTTCCCTCCCTCACTTCTCAAGACAGGGTCCCAGTCGAGTTTCTCTGAGGTTAACCTTCATTCCGAAGTTCTGGCCCCGGTTCTCAGTGAATTCACTTTACGTGGCTTCTTCCTGGGCCGAATCGTCCACCTTTATTTCCTGGGCTCCCACCTGAGGTCTTCAGAAGTCCCTTCCCTGTCACCCCGGGCTCAGCCCTTGTTCTGTGATGGGTCCCAGAGCCTTCCGAGCAGGGGTCCGTCACCCACCGCCAGCACCACCTGTGGCCTCAGCCTCCCGCCCCCTGCCCCCACCTCTGGCCCAGCCCCCAGCCCCTGCCTCCCCTCCTCTCCTGTCCTCTGGTCTTTCCTCCTCCAACCCAGGGCCTGGGCGGCCCTTGGATGGATCTGCAGCCTGGAAGGGCAGCTCGGCGGACACTTAAGACCACGGTGTCCTGGGTCCATAGCACTCTTCCCTCTGAGACAAAGGAATCACCAGCGCTCAGTCGGCTAGGCCTTTGCGCTTCCAACGTTCCGCTGCAGGAGGCCTGCCAGACCAGGTCACATGCTCACTCCGTTACTGTTTATTGAGCATCTACTCTGTGCCCAGCACTGGGGAGGCGGCAGTGACCAGCAGGGACAAACTCCCTGCCTTCGAGGCACTTATGTTTGAGCAGGGGTGACAGTCAGAACACAGATGAGCAAAAGATGGAGTCCATCTGGTGGAGACACCAACGGCACGAGGAAGAGAGGGGTGTGGGGGACAGTGGAATACGGGCTGCCACAGGGTGGGGGGGACAGGAGGCCAGAGAAAAGTACAGGGGCTGGCCCTGCAGATGTCCGAGGCAGGGTGTCCTGATGCTGGGAAGAGCAGATGGAAACGCCCCGAGGTGGGAAAAGTCTTGCATTGTTGGGGAAAGATAAGGAGAGCAATCTGGTTGAGCAAGCAGGGGGAGGGAGGGGAGGGACAGGTCAGAGAGGACAGCGAGGCCCGGATCACCCAGGGCCCTGTGGGCTGCAGGAGGAGGAGCCCGGGGTTTTGTTGGAAGTGATGTGGGAGCCCCTGAGTTTTGAGCACAGGCGAGACAGGGTCTGGCTGGAGGGGTCAGACCCAGGGTTTCTCAACCTTGGCCCTGTTGACACGCGGGCCGTCCTGTGCGTCGGAGGAGACCGAGCGGCATCTCTGGCTTCTCCCCACTGCGCGCCAGTAGCAAGCTGTCACGCTGTGGCCGGCATCACGGAAAGGGTCCTGTAGCGAGGAGCTGAGACCTCTTCTCAACAGCCCGTGAGAACCCCAGGCCTACGACGGCCACGTGAGGAAGCCCCCCCTCGAGGGGGTCCTCTCCCAGGGGAGCCTTGAGGTGACTGCGGCCCCAGTTGACACCTTAATTTAGGACTTGTGAGAGACCCTGAGCCAGAGCTACCGAGCTAGACCATTCCCAGATCCCTAACCCACAGAAACCATGAGAAAATAAACGTTTGTTGTTTTTAGCTGCTAAGTTTTGGGGTCATTTGCTGTGCAGCAATACGCAGCGAACACACACACACACACACACACACACACACACACACAGTAGTTGTTGACAACTTAAAAATATTTCCAAATGTGCCCTGGGGTGCACAGTCACCTCCAATTGGCAACTGTGGATCTAGTAGGGTCCCTGTGGCCGTGTGTGGTGGGGGGAAGACTGCAGGGATTCCAGAACGGGAGAGGGGGCGGAGGTGAGAGGAGCGGTTGGATTCTGGGGTGATTTCGAAGGTGGACGCAGCAGGATTGGCTGGGTTGAATCTGCAGAGAGGGTCAGGGAGAGAGAGGAAGAGACGCAAGTGGAGGATGAGTCCAGGGCTTTGGCCCAAGCAGGGGTGGGTGAAGGTGCCACCTTCTACTGAGCGGGACAGCTGGCTTGGGGGGCCACTCGGCAGGCTTCTCCTTCCTGATTATAACTCAGCAGCTCTGGGGCAGGGTGCAGAACTCGGTGCGGTCACAACCTTTCAAACTGTGCTTCAATGAATGCAAAGGTCCGCCGACGATGTACCTGGGCTGCCAGGATGGTGGTGGTAAGGATGGGGACAGCTGGGCAGGGATGCCTCACGTCATCCCGATCAGGAGATCTCCCCTGAGGTGTTTCAGAAAGGAGTTCTGAGGCGGAAGGAAGCCCCGGCACCTGCGCTGCAGTGTACGGATTGCACACTCAGGTGCCTCCAGGGCAAGGCCAGCGCGACCCCGGGTGACCCGGCAGGTGAGAGGAGCAGGCCCCTCTAACGAGTGTGCGCTACGCACGTTCATCCCGGCGTCACGGCGCAGGAAGGCCCCGACTTCTGGTTTTTCATAAGAAGCTGTAATCCAGACGGATTTTTAAATGTTGGGCCAATCTATACATATACGGGCCTGTATTGGTTCGAGGGCCATAAGTGTGACCCCTCTGACCCACTCCAGCCCTCTCCTTCTGCAGAGGAGGGGGTCCTCAGGAGTCCTGGGTTCAGGTGGAGCGGGGGCGCCCGGAGGGAGGTGGTGCTTGGACTCGGCTCCGAAGAAGAACCAGATCCCGTCAAAAACGTGGAGAGCACCACTGCAGGAGGTGGGGCGGGGTGAGCAAGGGTGCGGGGCGGGGGGTGGGACCGTGCAGGGGCGTCCGAAGGGACGGAACCGGGGAGAAGAGAAGACACATGATGGATGGAGACCGGGGAGGGGGTGCTGAGGAGGAAACGCAGAGGCTGGGCCTGCCTCTCAGCTGGCGAAATCACGGAAGGATTTTAACGATATCAATAATTTCGCTTCCGAAACTGTTTGGCAATCTGCACCTCATTCTATTTTACCACCGACTTTGGGTTCTTGGCAATGCCCGCGCACACCAGGGAGCGTTTGCCCAACAAAGCACATTCTCGTTTGCAGACTGTTTTCGAACGCCATGAGCGTTTTCCACAAATACTAAATCAGGAATTTAATACGGAATTGTGAAGTTTAAGTGGATTAATGAGAGACTGATTACTTTCAATTTAGCGGGTTTTTAAAATTTTTTGGAGACAATGCAATTCCCCACCCCCAAATCCACCTTGCAAATTTTCCACCTCACAGCAGCCAAAATGCGAGGTGGTGTGTGCAAAAATAGCTGGTGTGACATGACAGAGAAGGGTCAGTGAGGTTTAGAGACACTCCGGGAAGAGTTCACGTTCAGGGGGAGATCAGGGCAGGCACCCCGGAGGAGGTGGTTTTGACTCCGAGAGGCAAAGGATGGGTGAAGTACAGACCAGGCAGATGGGTTAGGGTAAGCAAGGGCATGCCAGGAGGAGGTTCCAGCGCGTGGGTGAGAGTGAAGGTGGGAACAGTGAGGTCCGTGAGTCCAGACCAAGGGGGCTGGGGTTGGGGCTGATTTTCATGGAGGGCACGGGCGGAACCAAAGAGGAAAGAGGAGGCCTTTTGGAGAGAGGCACAGCGAGGACCGGGCGTGGGAGTGTGAAGAAAAGTGGGCCCCTGGCCTCCCCTTTTTGAATTTCTCACGCGTGTGGAAGGGCGGCAGAGAATGCGCGTGTCTCGCCCTCCTGCCCACGGCCCTTCCCCTCGTCCTGGCGGAAGTGTCTGGGTGGCGTCTGAGGACAGGTCTCCGGGTGGAGTGCGGACAGACAGCCCAGCCCTGCCGGGGGGCGGGGGGGCTTCTGGGGCGGCAGCCCATTCGCTCCGCTCATCGATCGTGTGACGGACGTGTTGTGATGTCCGTGTTTCAGGGGACACGGGGCCCCAGAGAGGGGAACCGACTTGCCCCAAGCTCACGCAGGAAGCGGCAGGGTGGGGGTGGGGGTGGGACCCGACCCACTGCTCTGTGAGGGCATCCGTGTGCCCCACCGGGTCGGCCTTCCTGAGGCCTGAGTGCCATCGCCATCCCCGTTTGTCGGGGGGTGGACGGAGGGTCCGAGAAGTTGCCTTGCTTGCGCGAGGTCATACACACGGCTGGGAGGGCTGAAGCTGAGGTTCGAATCCCGGGTCCAGCTGGCTCTGGGGCCCAGTCTCCTGGCGCCAGACGACACGGCTGCCCGCCTTCGCAGGTCTCTGTTTCCTCATCCGGCCAGCGGTGGTGAGGCCAGTGCCTGCCCGACGGGGCCCGTGCGAGGACCAGAGCAGGTGCCTAGCCGTTGTCCCACTCCGTGCCTGGCGCTTGGTGCTTTAAAGATGATGGCTGTGACTATTTGTACGAAGGTGGCTGCCTGTTGCACAAGTGAGTCAACGTCAGCCACGTAGGACAGTGCCTGAGTTGCACTTATTTTGTGACCAAGGACACATAGTAGGTGCTCAAGAAATGCCAGAAGGCACTGTTATCACGGGACCAAGCGTGGGACAGCCCGATAGCCTGCTAAACTGTTGTCCTTCCCAGAAGCGCCTTCCAGTGGTTTCTCCCTTAATCCAGTACCCACCTGGGAGCCTCGGTGAGGATTTGGGGTGAGGAGGGTGCGGCCTCCTGCCCGTCAGTCAGAGGTGCCGAGGGCACCGGCCGGTGAGCCCAGGGTTCCGGGTTTGAGCCCTGACCCTTGCATGACCTCTGACTAGTGCTCTGCCCGCTCTGCACCTCAGTTTCCCCTTCTGTCTCCAGAGCCCGCGTCAGGCCGTGCTAGGAAGCGCGGGCCCCTCGCAGGCACGCGGGCAGTTCCGGCGTCCGCGCTGGCCACCGGTTTCCATCCCCTGCCTCCCGAGCTGCAGGCCCGCCCGGCTCAGCTGCGACGGCCAACCAGCCAATCTGTTTACTGAACTGGCTCACCCCTTCCGGGAACTCAGCCCAAGCTTCCCAGAACTCGGGTATTAATGACCCGAAGCCACATGACAGAGCATGACACAGCACTTTTGGGCACAAGGCAGGGCCCAGAGGGGCCCGTGGGGGGCCTTGACCCAGCCCCCCACAGCCTGGCTGGCCAGTGAGTCACCCCTGCCTCCTGCAGCTTCCTGATCCTGGCCCCTCTGCCACCCTCCCCCATCCCCAGGGCCACCTAGGATCGCTGGACCTTTGCCCCAGTGACCTAGAAGAGGCCCTCTGGGGTTATGGATGGGGAAAGTGAGGCCCCAAGGACCGGAGTAAGTAACAGCGAGCACTCACTAGGCACTTAGTGCACGCGAGGCGCTGGGTGGACATCTTACCCTAGCCTCATAACAGGCTTAGGAAGCGGTGCACGCCAGATGGGAAACTGAGGCTCGCAGGGCGGGAGTGAGGGCGTGCGGCCGTGAATTCAAGCATCGCTGTCTGACCTCGGGCGACCTCCTTTCATTCCCTCACCCACCTGAAAAGGGAGGGGCCTGGGGTCTATTTCACAGCTGGGGAAACTGAGGCACGGAGGACCTCCAGTTCCCTGCCTAAGGTCTCAGCACTGGTCTGCCTCTGGGACCTGTGCTCTGAGCCAGCACCTGGCACGTAGCTCACGTGACGTCTGCAGACTGAGAAGCACGTCGTGCAGGCTTGGGTGTCAGGCAGAGCCCAGTTCGAATCTGCGCTGGGCCTTGTCCTGACTGCTTGGCCTGGGGCACATGGCTACCCCGCCCCCACCCACTGTGCCTCCGAGTTCTCGCTGGGGAAGGATGAGGCCGACCTTCCAGAGCCGCTGGGAGGGCTGCGTGTGTGCTGTTTGGGCAGGCGGCGCGCTGTGAGCACCGACTTTCGGAGTTCGAGTCTTCTCCCAGCCTCTGCAGCCCCGGCGGGGTCAGCCTCTGGGCCGTGCACCTGCCTCCTTCACCCTTTGCTGCCCAAGGGCAAAGTGAGGGCGGAGGTTTTTATGGGGCTGGGAACCAGACAGGTTCTGGGCCTTAGAGGGGCCCTTGCTGGCAGCCTGAGTGGGACCTCCTCGTTCTCAGCCCCTGAACTTCCAGCTGGGGGCCGGGCACGGGCAGGGGTGGGCAGGACTGTGATCATCTTCCCTTCATTCCAGAATCGTGGCTCGAACTCATGAACGGCTGGAATAATTTCAGCCGGGAAGAAACGCCATGACAGAAGCAGGGCGTCTGGGGTTTTGTGAGTCAGAGAGGGCTTCTCGGAGGAGGTGACGTGGAGAGACATCTGAAAGAGGAGAAGCAACGGGCTCCGGGGCAAGGGCCTCCCCGCATTAGGAACAGCAGGAGCAGAGGCCCTGGGGTGAATTTATGCTTGGGATGTTCCAGGAAAACCCGAGGAAGCCAGGCGCCTGGAGGGCAGTGAGGGAGGGGAAAGGGGGAGCAGGAGATGACGTTGGAAGGCGGCAGGGGTCAGATCGTGGAGGGGCTGGTGGGCCGAGCGCCACTGGTGGGATCTGACTACAAAGGGGGCTGCTGTGGCCCAACTGATGGGCAGCGTGCCTTCACTTACTCTGACGTTTAAACTGTCTGCCCATGGGCAGATGAGCTGACAGTGGTCCAGGCCAAGTTCACCCAGAAGGTCAGTGGCAGGGTGGGGATGAAACCACACTGGTTGGACAGCCAGTTCAGGACAACCGCCCCTGCACAGAGGGAAGTGCGAACACGGGCTGAGGAGTCGATGGCATGTGGGTCAGCAGAGTGTCCTGGCAGGGGAGGTGCCCTGTGCATGAGGCTGGTCAGAAGCGCTGGAGGAGGGCCCCTGGCAGAGGGGACAGCGTGCAGGGGGGCCCCCACGGGAGTGAGAGTGGGGTGCGTTCTGGAAATTCATCACTGCTCAGGAGTGAGGGGACGGGAGAGAGGCCACTGGGTGATGTCAGGATCTCGACCCCAGGAGGCCTTGGAGCCAAGGGGAGGGGCTAGAATTTCAATCTGAAGACCTACTGTGTGCCACCTATTCGCCCTGGCCCAGGGCAAGTCACTTTTCCTCTCTGAGCCTTGGTTTCCTCATCTGTAAATACCGTCTGGGAAGATATTGTGACAACTCAGTGAGATCATTCTTTCATTCAATCATTTATTCCTTCACCGTATTTTGAGCTAGTCACTGAACTGGGGACCGGGGACACAGCGGTGACAAAAGGCTCTGCACTGTGGAGATGTGGAGTAGCGAGCAGTCAGTGAAGCCAGATGGCCTAGATTAGCTCTTGGCCCACCACTCATCGGCTGTGTGACTGTGGGCGAGTTGCTTTCCCTCTCTGAGCCCTACCTGTAAAATGGAATAATGACAGCACCCACCTCAGAGGGTTGTTGTAAGGACCTATAAGCTAATACACGGCATGTGACTAGCACAGAGTCTGGCATACAGTAGGTGCTCAATAAATGTTCTCCATGTCTGTGCTCAAATGGGGGGAACTGATGAAAGCAATCGGGACAGGTGTGCGGATGAGATGACGTCTGAAGTGGGCAGTGGCAGCGCCAGCTCTTGGCACGGAGTGGGCACGCAGTAGGTGCTCAGGTGCTTCTCCTCTGTCTGCTGAGCCCACCTTGGACTGTGACAGGGGCCTGAGGTTTGGGACTCTGTGTGGATGGGAAGCCATCTTCGCTGACCCAGAAACCCAGGATTGAGCTTGGGGTGGGGAGGACAGACACACGCGCCCCAACCCTCTAGCCTCCACGCTCCCTGCACCCCATCCCCAGCACGGTTCACAGCCTGGGTGGCTGGGGCGAGCCGGGGCCTGCCCTGTGGGTCCCCAGTAAAGACACTCATTACACAGGTGTCTGGCAGTGCAGGGGGAGGGGAGGGCCCCAGGGGCCGCACTCAGATGGCACTCTGCCAGTTCACCCCGGGTCCTTCCTCATCCTTTATGAGTCTGGTGCCCAGGGCAGGCGGGCAGGCAGGGGGAGAGGAGCTGGCACCGGGCCAGCTGGCACCTGGTAAAAGGAGGGAAAGTTGAGAAGTGTGGGTGCCAACGGCTGATGTGAGAGACGGGGCGCTGGGGTGGCGGCGGCGGCGGTGGGGGGGTGTGGTGCACACGTGCAGGTGTATACAGGGGTACGGTGGGCATGTACGCTGGTCTAGGTGTCTCCGCAGCCTGTCCCTGTGGAGGTGAGGGGTGCATGCAGATGGAGAATTGGCAGTGCCCAGACTGGGCTCAGCATCTTCAACATCCTTTTTTTTTTTTAAAGATTTTATTGATTTATTTTTAGAGAGGGAAGGGAGGGAGATAGAGAGAGAGAGAGAAACATCAATGTGTGGTTGCTGGGGGTCATGGCCTGCAACCCAGGCATGTACCCTGACTGGGAATCGAACCTGCGACACTTTGGTTCGCAGTCCGCGCTCAATCCACTGAGCTACGCCAACCAGGGCAACATCCATTTTAACTCGTTCATTTAACCTGCACTAGTGTGTGGGGGCCAGGCTGTGCCCAGCCTGGGCCTGGTGATGGCAAACTCAGACCTGGGCCCACCCTAGGTTCTGCCATCAGAGCCTCCAAATCCAGGGAGAGGCAGCTGCCCAACCAGAGGGACGAGATATCCCCATGAAGCCTTTGGTGGAGGAAATTGAGTTGGATGAGAGAGAGCAACAGAATGGGGCCAGGGAGAGCCTCTCTGAGAAGGCGACCTTGGATCTGAGGCCCGAAGGATGAGCCACGATGGCAAGACCTGGAGGAAGAGAGCTCTGGTCGGAAGGAACAGCAAGTGCAAAGGCCCTGAGGCTGCAGGGCGTTTGGTTGCAGAGCACCAGGGAGGCCCTGGGCAGAAGAGTGAATGAGGAGGAGGGCAGGAAGCAGGTCATAAGTGGGCAGGGCCAGGCTGCATGGGCCAGGGTGAGCAGTGTGGATCTCACTCTGAGTACAATGGGAAACTCAGCACATGGTATGCACACCCCTCGGGGTGAATGGGTTTGCAGAGGGGGCAGGCCCGTCCCGCCGGGTGTGGGAACGATCAGCTTTCAGAACTACAGACAGGAACGTGGGCTGCTCAATTTGTGTTTGAACCTATTCTCTCGGGTTCAAACCCCCTGGAACCTGGAGCCTGTTATTAAGCCGGCTGCACCCTGGGGCGCCTGCCTTTATCCCCAGACAGGGCCTGGCCCGCCTGCCCTGAGGTCGACCCTGGCCCCCCAGATGAGAGTGGATGGGCGGGACTGGCGAACCCGTGCACCCGCCTCGGCCCTCACCAGGCGCCTTGGCGGGGCCGAATCTGCTTCTAAGAGAGGAAAGGAGGCTGCGGAGCAGTGCGGTCTCGTTTGCAGACAGGGACACTGAGGCCCAGAGAGGGAAAGGTACCGTGTCCCGGGGCCCCCTGGCAGGGAGCTGGCTGGTCACGGCACCCGAGGAGTCTGACTCCTTCCCTCTCCGTCCACTTTCTCCCCTGTCCTCTGAGCCCCTCTCATTGTGACTGCAGCCGGGGAAGTAGCTGGTGTCTGGGCAGGGCCAGGGGGAAGAGCTGGGGCCCATTTGGGAGCCTCTTTTCATGGCACCCTCCCTACAGGAAGCACTGCCCAGCTGCCGTGCTAGCGGGCTACCCATCGCTGGGGCCAGGCAGGCAGTCCCAGGTAGCAGTCCGCCACCTGCTTCCCGGGTCGCAGAGGGGTTTGGGTGACTGAGGCACGATCTCCCTTTAAGCTCTCTAATGGCCCAGGACCTTGGCCTCCTTCGTCCCTGTTCAAGCCTCAGTTTCCCAACCTCAAAAAAAGGTCAGTCTTGATGATGAAACTGCCCTGCTTCCTGCCCTTTCTTGGCTGCCCAGTCCTCCGGGGACAGCTTGAATCTGTGCCTCAGCCCAGCTGTCCTTGCGGCCCCGGCCCCTGGTCCCTCCCTGTCTCTGATGAGGTCACTTGGACTTCCTAACTCTCGTTCAGCTCACTGCCACTTTTCGCCTCGGGGCATTTGTGGATACTGTGACC